ATGTCATGAACCTTATCTCGTTTAGACATCCTGACGTCACTCACACTACCATCTCTGAGTGTCATTCTAAATAGCTGCTCTCCACTGATATTTTCATCCACTGATTTTCTCGGAAAGAAGAATCCAGAGAATTCCATGGCATTTGTGCTCAGAACCATTGACTGTCCCCCCTGGCCTGTGCCTCAGAAGAGAGCTGGAGAACCAGTCTCCTGCCCGACCCCTGGGGGGAGTCTGGGGAGGAGTGTGCAGCTGAGTGCGATCTCCTGCACTTTCTCAGCTATTCCAGACCCCACGTGGGGGTTTTTAGTCTGTTAGAGGGTAGCCATCTCTTCTCACCTGTGGACAGTGGTGGTGCCTCCGCTCCTGTGCTCCGCCAGAGGAGACAGTCTGTGTAGCTCACCTCTCCTCCGAGGGGCCTCTCTTTGGTTGCCTTTCAAACTCACCTTTCTCATGGGCTGAACAAAAGTAATGATTTTGCAGTTTATCATTTTCTCATGTTAGGGCCGGAAGGATGTGCTGAGCAGCATTCATATCCTAAGAAGCATATGAGCATTAAATTCCACCTGTATCCCATAGCAAATGTACACCTGAACCTGTATGAAGCTATTTTTATTCATCCTCAGGAATCATGCTGCTTTGGTAAATCTCTTTCTAGCAGTGTAAATCACCCCTCAACCTCACAAAAATTCTGCAGCCTTTTATTAAGCTTCCCAGGTGACCCTAGAATTATATTGTCTAGTTAAAAAAAAAAACACACTTTCAACATTTTTTTATGCCCCGCCCCGGGTCAACAGACCATGGGACATCCAGAACCCCTCACTTTCAACATTTTTATTAGAATTGAACCGGCTGAATTATTGAGTTGTGCCATCCAATAATGTGGTATGCGCTACCATTTATTTAAATCTTCAATTTCCCCAGTAAAGTTTTACAGTTTTATTTATACAGGTCTTATATACATTTCTTATGTCAAGTTTATTCCTAGATATTTTTTATATTTTCTTTATTTTAATGCCTTTTAAAAATTTTATTTGCTGATTCAACGGGGAGAAGAACCAAGATGGCGGCATAGGTTAACGCCGGAGTTTGCCGCCTCGAACAACCATTTCAAAAGTGAAACTAAAAGACGGAAGGGACATCATCCAGAACCACAGGAACGCTGGCTGAGTGGAAGTCCTACAACTAGGAGGAAAGAGTAACGCATTCGGAC